AGCACGCATACTATTTGCAGGATTTTTCGGAATTTTTTCTACATCAATAAACAAAATTCTTTTAGACGCACAAATAAAAGAATACAACACCAAAATAGCAACAAGACAGAACACATACGACGAAGAACATAACAATGTAGACACAACGCCCACAGCACCACAGTTACCACCTCTACCACATAACCATCCACTATCCCTAGTCCCACAAAATTTTCGAAGTTTAGCAATAACACATAATCCAAATTTTAGACCAACCATATCACAAAGTCCCATCCAACATATAAGGACACACCATTCACAAGATGAAAATACTTATGAACAAATTATAGAACAACCCCATACCACCGCTTTTCAGTCTCAAAATAATAATTTTTTTAGCCCACGATGAGCCGACAACTTGGATCCCTACACCGCTCAAATTCCCACCCAACCAACCTCAACACTCCAATTACAATAATTCCACTTTTTGCTTTCCCGCCACCCAATTTTCCAACTATTAATGTAACATCAGGCATGAATTCAGATACTAATTCACAAATCTCAGTTTTATACTCCACTTCACAACTCAATAACCCGAATATTGAAACCCCCGATGAATTTGCCGATTCTGAACCATCTCCATCCAATCATTTTCACACCAACCCCTCAATTTTTTCCCAACCCCCTTTTCAACCAATACTACCAAATAACCCTGTCCCAACCAATTCTACACCCTCTTATGCCTCCCAAGTCACTCCAACCTACTCTTCACTTCATTCAGACCGATCATCCAATTCTCCAGATACCCCCCAAATCTCCCCAGAACTAGATAATTTTATTACCCTACAACAACAACCCTACCACCTTGACACCCCCACTATAAACCAAATTTCATCCACAATAGATTCATCCAACCCACCTACCCCTACACCCTCTTCAGTTTATACCGAATCATTAGCACCATCATCCACATCTACTGAATCTTCACTCAGCACTAATAGAGCTTATCGCACTTTTAAAAGAAAGTTCCCAAACCATCCTTTCCCAGCAAAACCAGGAACAGCCCGTGAATATATACATCATCCAAATCACACTAACACGAAAGAATTTTTAGCTATCACCTTACCCTCATTTCCACAATATACCTTAAACACCCCTCACGACACTAACGATACACGTAGTTTTGTAGACGAACACGTTTTAATGCCTACCCTTCCTTGGACCTCATATTATCATTTTACTAATTCCCTTTGCCTACCTTTATCTAACACTCACATCGATATAGAACGAAATAAAGACATGCTATATCGACTCACTACACCACTAACACCTAGACAACTTACTTACATCGGATATAAAAAGTCACTAAAAACATACACTGCACCCCGAGCTAACGAATATACGCTAGAATATTATGATCATAACATCATCCGAACTAACCAAGATCAATTTTTAGACGATGATCGCTTCGCTAACCCACAAATCACAGAAAAATTTTTCATTAAAACACCATATGTATTTACACTCAATATCTTTGATCGCAAATTTGACCACATCATTTCAGAAGCACTAACAGACACACAAGCCTACGAAAGTTTTAAAGAACGCTTTCAATTATTTTCACTAACCTTTCATTTCCTTGCACCACATGAACGAGATTTGCACTGCTCACACGATATTATGTTACGCACTAAACAAACTCACACATATACATATTATCGTTTTATACAAAATCACTTCGACCTACACACTCCCTCCAGGCAACCACACCACCGTTTTCAATTCATCAATTCCAAATACACCTCACCATTCTTTCTTAACTTTACATATTGCATTAAAGATACTAACCTTCATGGTATTCCTCGAAATTACGACCCCATAACCCAAATGTATATTTTTTGTCCCATCACGAAGACCTTCAACGCAGAAGAATCCCGACCCTTCCTTATCCCACACGAATTTGTTCAACCTATAGAAATCCCCATATTAGAATTCATCCACAACACTAAATTCAATCACAAATTATATAATCTCATCCAAAACACACCTTATGAGTTTGCAGTTGGCACAGAAGAACTAACAACCATTAAAGCACTTCAATTGCTTTGGCCACTGCTTCAAATTAAAAATATCATCCTCATCTTAGCAAAATTACTAACAACTTCCGACCTCATCCACGACATCTTTCCCCACGGTTTCTTCCCCGACGACTAACAGGTAAGTATGAATTATACATATTATTAACTAATTAAATTAAAATTAGAAACTAACCATTCTTTATCCATGTCTTCTTTAGAATTTTAGCCTTCATCCAACGATCATCTGAAAAATTCACAAAAGAAAAATAAAAAATAGAAAACTTCTTCAAACTGTTTAAAACTTTATTAATTTTTTGCACCAAACAATTAAATAAAAATGCAGTAATTTAATTTATAAATTTTTTCCCCACAAGCAGTAAATCTAATAATGATGAAAATTTGTAACTTAATTTTCCCCAACAACTAACAGTAAATTTGAATTTCTATGTAATAAATTGATAAAACGAAAATGCAGTACTAACCTTTTGATATTTCCATTCATTCGCACAAAAATTCTATCCACACTCGCACAGCTCGCCCACGAAGAATTGTTTAAAATAATGAATTTCAGTTTCAAGCTTTCACACTCAACTCTAACACAAGATAACACGTTTCAAACTTTCCTTTAACCCGGTTGGAAAGGAATTATATACTAAACAACACTAACCAACGCAGCTTACTAAACACCACAAATCATAGAATAACAGCATGACTAAGAAAAGGAAACCAACGGTACCCAAACCGGAATAACCCAGTTTAAAACTGGATAATTTATTCTTTTGAAGACTATTATAAAGTCTAAGAAAGAAATAATAAAACACAAAAAAGTCGAAAGATAAACCCATACCACAAACAATTTGATTTTTGAAAAGAGGACACAACCAACAAAACATAAGAAAAACCACAACAAACCCAACATAAAACGTTATCACATAACAGGACGTCTCACAAACACCGCATGCAATCATACTCCCACTCCTGGCCTAACCCACCAGAAGAGGACGTCCTGAGCATGCTCTATAGCCGGCCTAACCCACCGTGCTACATCCACGCTTTGTGACCACACTCCTATGTTTAATAAGAGCTACTCAAGGGTGAGTAACTCTTCAAAATAACTGAACTAAAACAAAAAGCTTTTGTGAAAACAACTAACCAAAATCATAATTAAAAAACATTAAACTAATAAAAGTTTTATAAAATGTAAATTATATTATGCAATATATAGATCAGCATACAACACCAAGGACGAACATCCAAAGACAAAACGACCCCACTACACTCGAAAAAGAATGGCCAACCACAATCGATATGCCGCTCACAATCACAACTCAAAGGATTTAGAGTACGACTTGACTTCGCAGAAAAGGACTTCATTGAACTAGACCAATGACCACCTCGATGTTCAAGTATACGTACAGATCCGAGTAACCAGGCATCCCCTCCATGCACAATCTCCACGCCATTCCCAGACAAGGTCAAACACAAGAAGTTCTCTACATGAAACAGAAAAACCTGACATAGCCAACCATTCTGAAATCAGATTTGAGTTTGTTGCGAAAACACAGTCGTTGTCACAAGAAGACACAACGTTTGATGTCCCTAATTCCAACGTCCTGGAACTTCTCTAACAAGGGAAACCGGAAAAGAAATATGATGTTCGCCAAATACCAACGTCCATCATCCATCCTTCAAATTGCAGAAAAACTATTCTAAAAAACTCTGTAAAACCCGGATGGGTGGAACCTGATCTAAACTACATTTTATGATTGGATAAATTAGATATTTTACCACTGTAAAGTATGTAATATTAACCAATCATGATCCATCTAACTAACAACCCACTTATTTGAAAGTGCTGAAATTACTTGTAATTTCAGCACCAGAGAGATTTGAATTTAACTTAGAAGTTAGTTGAACTCTCCCGAGTACTTCAGCAGCCGCAATAAACCAGTATACCCTAGATCTATTGAGCCTAGCAGAGACTAGTTAAACAACCTGAGACTAGATAAGTATAAGAGTAAGATTAGGATCGGTATTAGACTAAGAAGTTGCACGAATCTATCCGGCCGAAAATAAGATAGCGTGACGAGCAGACGGTGTACCCTATCCGAAATTACTCTATGAGTTAACCACATCGGTCCTAACTCATCAGGGATTCGACCCCCTGCCGACCCAAAGCGTCCCCCCTTTGATACTTTTTCAGAAATCCATTGTTGGCCGACCGACCCTAAAATTTTTCTAAAGGCGCTATAATAATTGGGTAAAATACCTTAGGAGAGTAGTACACCAATTGTTAGTAAGGGTAGTTTTAAGGGTTGAGTCAAAGGAGTTCCATGCAGTTGGGCATCAGTTGAGTAAGTACATGAAAAATAATACAATAGTAAATCAGGGATAAAACTAAGGTAAATATAATATCATAAATAGGGATATTATATTACATGGTACGGGGAATACTAAAAGGCGAACGTTAGAAAAAGGGGAACTGTTAATAAGGGGGTTATTCAGAAAAGTTGATATTAATCCCGAGTTTTCGTATAAATTGAAACATTATTTTACCTGAAAGTTTGTCATTTCCTTGTAAGTCATGCTGTTTTTGAAAAGTTGAGAGAAACGAGTGAGTCAGCTTGGCTGTAATGTCAAAAGTCAAGTTGAGAGAAAGGTGACCTTAATTGTTTACAATTAACACCCGCCCACATTTGCAGAGCTTGCAAATAAAGTATTGAATAAAATAGTAAGGATACGGTAAAATACAAAGATAAGGGAACCAGTAGATAAGGGAACCAGAAATTGTTCTTTTTCATCTTCATCTTGGTTTGTCTATCGTTGAGCTGATTGTCTTAGTTGAATTGACGAGTCGTAGATTTGTTCATCTTTGTCGAGTTGATATGTTGAAGGCTGAGTTGCGTGATTATTTGGTTGGTTAGCTATTTGAAGCTTGGTTACTGCGAAACTGGGAAAACGCGGCTCAATTTGACCACAGGTCGAACTTTGAATCCAGTTGGCGTTTTCAGCTTCACTGAGCGGACTATTCCATCTTGTCCAGGAAAGGTTTCCACCACTTTAGCAAGAGGCCACAGTACACGAGGTGTAAAATCCTCCAACATCCAGACCATGTCGTCGGGTTGCAAATTGGAAGTCGCAGAAGTCCACTTTGATCGTTTCTGCTGACCTGGTAAGTACTCTCGAAGAAAGCGATTCCAGAAGTGATCTGCGAGTAGTTGGGATGCTTTCCATGATTTTGACAGAGATAAATCCTTGTCCTTGAAGATACCAGGCGGTAAATTTGGAGTTCCACGACCAAGAAGGAAATGGTTGGGAGTGAGAGGCAGATCATCTTTGATGTCGTCAGACACATTGGTTAAAGGTCGTGAATTCATGGTTGATTCAATTTCGGTCGTGAAAGTAGCCAGTGTTTCATAGGAGAGTGTTCTTGATCCGATGACTTTGTACAGGGAAAGTTTAAATATCTGAACTAGTCGTTCCCAAGAACCACCAAAATGAGGGGCCGCAGGAGGGTTGAATTTCCATTCGAGTGATACGTCCAGCTGATTGATGCTTTCCACAAATTCTTTGTTCTTTTCCAAGTTGTCTAGACATTTCTTCAGCTCAGAATTGGAGCCCACAAAACTTGTCCCACAGTCAGAAACCATTTTCGATGGTTTTCCTCGCCGGGCAAAAAAGCGTCTGATACAAAGAAGAGTGCTGTCTGTCGATAGTCCTAATGAGATTTCAAGATGCACAGCTCTGATCACTAAGCATGTGAACAGTAAAATATACGCTTGGTATTGTTTTCCTTGAAGGATGATGGGAAAAGGTCCAACGTAGTCCAATCCAGTCGTTGCAAAAGGAAAATGATTTTTTGATGGCAGTCGATCAATTGGAAGATCTGACATCTGAGGGTAGTCGACTTGTTGTTGCATTCTTCTGCAGGGTATACAACTGTGTATGATACTTTTCAGCAGGACGCGGCAGCGAAGAATCCAGTAGTTTTCCTGTGCTATGGCCATTGCTTGTTCCTTTCCGCAGTGGGAATGTAGAACATGGATGTTAGCTAACAGCAGGCGAACATTGGGGTTTTCACCAGCGAGAATGATTGGATATCTAGCTGATAGCATGATAGGGGCACGCGTGAGACGTCCACGAGAACGCAGGATACCGAAGTTGTCCACAAACGGTGCTAATGTTCGAAGTCTACTTTTGCCTTCAATTGGTTTTTCTTTTTTGATGTCTGAAATTTCAGAGACAAAATCTGTCCTTTGGGCAGTTTTAATTATGAGAAGGTGCGATTTCGTTAGATGCAAGAGTTGAAGATCGACCTTCGACTGTTTGTTGATCTTCCGTTTGAGATTTTCTGCGAATAAGAAGCAGTATGCAACTGTCCGTATTAGTCTTTTCCAGTTGCTGAAGCGTTTGATGTCAAATATAGGCTCAAATTTAGCCTCTAATGAAGTAACGAATACAGGAATGTTCTCAAGCCGAATGTTTTCCTGTGAAGGCCATTGAGAAGAATCGTTCAACAGAAATTCCGGTCCTAGTAGCCACCGACAGCTTGAGGTCATTTCTAAAGCAATGTATCCTCTGGTACCGTCGTCAGCAGGATTTAGCAGAGTTGGAACGTGAAACCACTGTTCAGGTTTAGAAACGTCTAAAATTTTCTGAAGCCGATTAGCGACGAAAATTTTGTGTCGTATTTCAGGTGTTCGCAGCCAATACAAAACAGTAGTACTGTCAGACCAGAAATAAGTTTTTTCAACTTTGAGGTCAATTTCCTCTGAAACAAAGAGCGATAGTTGGGCAGCATATACTGCAGCTTGCAACTCGAGATTGGGAATTGTAACACGTTTCATAGGAGCGACTCTTGTCTTTCCTATTATAAACTTCAAAGATGTGGAGCCGTCGCTGTAGACTATTCTTAGGTAGCAAACAGCAGCGAGAGCGAATTCTGATGCATCACAAAACGTGTGAAGCTGGATTGAAGCAGGGTTTTCTTTATCAAAGAAGTTCCTCTGGAATGAAACAGTTTCGAAATTTTCCATTTCGTCTACCCAAAGTTTGAAATCGGGAAGTTTATCCGTGTCTAATGGAGTATCCCACTTAACACCTTGTGACCAAACAGATTGGAGAACTTTTCGAATCCGAATTGTCAATGGAGCCACTATTCCGAGTGGGTCAAATAAAGAAGCGGTATACTTCAGGAGTTTCCGTTGCGTAGCAATGCCAATACGTAGAATTTTTACAAACTTTTTGTTATCGATGAAGTAGCAGTCAGTGTTGGTATTCCAGTGAACACCGAGAACTTGTTGATGTTTAGGCGTTGGATCATTAGGGCTGACTAAAATATTTGGATCAATTGAATCCAGGAATGGTTTACTGTTTGAGTTCCATTTATTCAAGTTGAACCCACCTCGAGATAAAGATCCTCGTAGTTGTGTCATTTGTTGGAGGGCTTCTTCTACCGTTGACGAAGTGACATACAAATCATCCATGTAGATATTCCGTTGAATGATTTCAGAAGCCAGAGGAAAGTCGTTTTTACTGTCTGATGCACATCGTCGTACTGCGTAGCAAGCCACGCATGGTGAGTCTGTGGCACCGAAAATGTGTCGTGTATATTCGTGAGTTTATAATTTACCATTTTCTTTCCAAAGGTATCTTAGAAAAGGTCTATCCTTTGGGCTGACTAGCACTTGCATAAACATAGCATCTATGTCAGCAGATATTGCTATTTTATTTTGTCGAAAGCGAATTATGAGACCTGTTAAGTTGCACAAAAGATCGGGCCCTTTGAGCAAACTCGAGTTGAGGGATTTACCCTGAAAAATGCTGGAAGCATTTGAGACTCGTCTAACTTTGTCTGGTTTGTTGACATTTGTCACTGGATGATGCGGCAAATACCAAGATTTGATTGCAGTGTCATGTTTTGCATCTATTTTGGTGACAAAGCCTTTTTCTAAGTCAGTGATGACTGTTGCGCGGTATTTCTCCCTTAAATCAGGTTTACTTTTAAGGCGAAATTCGAGGCTGTTGAGTTGCTTTTCAGCTAGCCAACGGTTATTTGGAAGATCAGTATCCTCTTTCCAAAGAAGGTCAATTTGATAGTGACCATCTACTAAAGTACAAGAGTTTTCGAGAATATCGATTGCTCTTTTATCCGATTTGGAGTGCGAGCGTTTTGAAGAAGCGATGCCTGTGTTTTCTATTTTCATCCAGTTGAGAACTTTCTGGTATAATTTTTCATCTAAGTTATTGTGTGAATGAACTTGTGTGAAGTTCACCGGAACAGATGGAACGGAATTACATTGCGTTTTGTTCCGACCTGTGCATGTCCATCCCAAAAGGGTTTCGATAGCCCAGGGAACATTCTTGGGGCCATAAACGGTATTTTTGATCTCATGATATTCTGGATTGTTGTTTCCGATGACTAGCGATATGCTATTGTCGTTTAAGTCCGGGTATTTAACATGCTTTAAATGTGGAAAATTGTTGCACATTGCGTTTAGTTGAAAAATATCAACTGGGGCCAAATTATTTTCATCTACCGTGAGTACGTCATCGAGCGTCATTGGAGTCGATGTGCTTTTGTATGGTCTAATTTGTACATCCACAGATGTAACTTGAACTGACTTGGTCTCATGATATCCAGATATGGGAAGTGAGTGCTTCTTGTTGACGTCCAAGCCTAGTTGAGTTGCCACTGAGTCCAGTAGTAGAGTTACGCAGCTACCACTATCTAAGAAAGCGTAGGTACAAAGTGTTTTATCACCATTTGATAATTCGATTGGTACAAAAGCTGATTGACCTGATCTCTGACAAGCTATTGCGCGATTCACTGCAGCTTTACTAGGGTTTTTTCCATAAGTATCAGAAGGATCGTGGAGTAGAGTGTGGTGTTTTTTACCACAATTATCGGTTCGACAGAGCGATTTCGAATTGCAGTCAGTAAACCTATGATTCCCTAGACAGTTAAAGCATAAGTGCATTTTTCGGGCATGCTCTTTTCGTTGCTTAGGATCTAAAGCTTTGAAGTGCTCGCATTTGTAGAGAGGTCCACAGGTGTCTCCACTAGGACAAGCATTCGAGTTTACATTATTCTGAGCACGAGAGTTTTGTTGATCTCCCTGATGGTTAAAGCGCTGATTTTGATTTCCTACACCATTTGTAGTAAAACCATTGAAACGGGAACCACTAGGGTGTTTAGCGTTTCCAGAAGAATTGTTAAAATTGTTATTGTTTTGGTTTCGGAAACCTGTCGGAGGCATGTCGCGACACGCCTGTGCGTACCGTTGAAACCATTGTGCTAGATGTCTCAAGGAGGGTTGATCGTAGTCTTTGTCGATGACGAAGCGATTCCATTCTAATCTCACAGGGTCGGGAAGCTTTGCCAGAGCAGTGTTCAAGTTTGTTGTAGAACAAATATCGTGAACAAAACCAAGTTGCTCAAAAGTGTCCACTAAAGTTAGGAGAAAAGCAGAAAACTGCATGTAAGATTCTGGTTGAGCCAGATTTGGAGGTTTGAAATTTGCAAGACGTTGCAAAAAAGAGTTGACAATTCTATTGGTATTGCCAAAGTTTTCACGAAGACGTTGTAGTGCTAGTTCGTATGTGTCGCCGTTTGCACCATAACCAGCTATCATTAGTTTAGCTGGGCCAGTTACCAATGATTGAAGATGGATCATCTTTTCAGTTGGAGACATTTTAGAATTATGAATCGATGATACGAATACCCCATACCAGTGCAACCAATAGTTGGGATTGCCATTGAAAATTGTAGGCTTCAGTTTTGGCACTGATCGACTGAATGTAGTAGAAGTGTCGCTTGAATTAGTTGCCAAAGCTCGATTGTTGTTGTTAGGAGGGTTTGCAGCACTAGCTTGTTGTGAGCTGTGGTTAGGAACATCACTAGCAAATGGATTTGAAAATGATTGGTCGCCTTGAAATGGCGCCGAAAGGTTGTCGTCAGCGGCAGCTGTTCTTGCATTGCCTTGAGTATTGTTGCTCATGGTTATAAGGTTGTTGTTTGGTATATCCATTATGTTTGCAGTCGGCATGGAGGTTGCGGTTTCCTGTGGGAAAATTGAAGTAGCATTTTCTTGAGCGCTGTTATTTGGAATTGTAGAAGTAGCAGGATTTGATACTTGTTTTTTCAAATATTTTTTCACTTTCATTGAAAATACTCGGATTTTCTGTTTCAACTGTACTGTCCAGTGAGAATGTTCTTCAAAATCGTGTTCAGAACCAGCCTGTAACATTTGATCGTTCAGGGTATCAAGTTTTTGTTGGAATTGAGACAATTCAGTGAACGTTTCATTGATGAGTTCAAGATCATCTTCTTCCTCGTAGATGTTGTTTTCGAGCATGTCGATCAAAGTATTGATCTCCATTTCGTGATGACGTCGAAGCAAAACCAGTTTTCGAACGCCAGTCTCTTGAACGTTTTGATTGGTATCTTGCGTTTGGGTACCATTTTGTTCCGAAGGATCGCTGTCATTGTTTTGCGTCGTTTTAGGTTTAGGGCCATACCTTGAACCAGGAGACGTAAACCAATACCTACCAACTTATACCAGTATATGAATTTACCTTTACCAACCTACCAACTTATACCGAATACCACCGATGCTCGTAAGAAGGAGCGAAATAATGGATAAAGTTTAACCAATTACCACTGTACCTTACCACTTGTACCTACCTCCGAGGGAAAATTGAGCGGTCGTTCAAAGTGTCCTCGGTATTAACAATTAACTGCGATTTTAAAGCTAGTCCAAGAACCTACCTGGTCCTACCAGCCTACCGACCCTACCTACCTACCAATTACCAGTATAAACGGCAAAAAAAAACCGGGTGCAAAGATTAGCACCAATGAGTGTTGACCTCCCAGAGGACAACTGAGGATGACGTATTTACCTACCTACCTGTCGCTATTTAGCAGACGACCGAATTGTGATTGCTGACCTCCCAGAGGACAACTAAAGTTGATGTACCTGTTTACCTACCTGTCCTAATACCGTAGATTTATCCCTGTGCAATAAAATTTGCACTTTTACCAGTTGACCTCCCAGAGGACAACTTGCCTTTATCGCTGTAGCGTAGCGAATGAGACGAACTAGAGTTGTTCGAAGCAGTTGATGAGCTAAACGAAGCTCGAATGTAGCCACGAACCCAGTGAGGCTCGAAGCAGCAGAGGAAATGAGCTCAGGTAAAGCTCGACAGGAAGCAGCCAAGAACCGAGAGGCTCAAAGCAGAAAATAAGGTGAGCTAAGACGAAGCTCGAATGTAGCCACGAACCCAGTGAGGCTCGAAGCAGCAGAGGAATGAGCTCAGGTAAAGCTCGACAGGAAGCAGCCAAGAACCGAGAGGCTCAAAGCAGAAAATAAGGTGAGCTAAGACGAAGCTCGAATGTAGCCACGAACCCAGTGAGGCTCGAAGCAGCAGAGGAAATGAGCTCAGGTAAAGCTCGACAGGAAGCAGCCAAGAACCGAGAGGCTCAAAGCAGAAAATAAGGTGAGCTAAGACGAAGCTGGAATGTAGCCACGAACCCAGTGAGGCTCGAAGCAGCAGAGGAAATGAGCTCAGGTAAAGCTCGACAGGAAGCAGCCAAGAACCGAGAGGCTCAAAGCAGAAAATAAGGTGAGCTAAGACGAAGCTGGAATGTAGCCACGAACCCAGTGAGGCTCGAAGCAGCAGAGGAAATGAGCTCAGGTAAAGCTCGACAGGAAGCAGCCAAGAACCGAGAGGCTCAAAGCAGAAAATAAGGTGAGCTAAGACGAAGCTCGAATGTAGCCACGAACCCAGTGAGGCTCGAAGCAAGCGGAATAAGTGAGCTCAGATAAAGCTCAAACAAATGTCATGTCGAAGAACAATGACGAAAATTGAGAGTCCAAAAAGAACTCGAATCAGGTAACCAAGGAGTCGGGCAATAAGAAAGCAAAAGTGTCAGAAAACACTTGAAGGAAGGAAGCAATGAAGGAAGCAAAGGGCCAAGAAAGGCTCGGAAGGAATATACAAGGCGTCAGATAAGACTCGGAAGGAATGAATGAATGAGTAGGGAAAGACTCGGAAACGAACAACAAATGGGTCGAGAAAGACTCGGAAAGGAATGAAACATTGAGTCAGAAAAGACTCGGAAAGGAACGCAAAAGGCAATAAAGACTCTGAACGGAATGAAAAATGAGTCGGGAAAACTGAAGTTTTTTCATAAATGAGTCACAAAAGACTCGGAATAGCAAAGCAACAAAAAACGAATTGAAAGGGGAAAATTGATGAAAATAACTTAATACATTATTCAAAGTAAATGAAGCTATGAACAATTGAAACGTTTAAAGTTTACATGGGTTAGAAATCAAGAGCAATAATTGATCTTTTTTTTTTTTAAAAATGTAAATCAAATAAACTGCGATTAACTGAAAATAAATGAAATAATATTGTAATGGGGAAGTATTATAACAAGATATAATAAACCGCAGACGTAAAAACTGGGGAGGAAAAACAGTAACTAACCATAAATTCTTGGTTGTGGGGGAATAAAAAACACAGTGTAACGAGCTAATCAAAACTTTTTCGGGGCGCCAATATAATAATTGGGTAAAATACCTTAGGAGAGTAGTACACCAATTGTTAGTAAGGGTAGTTTTAAGGGTTGAGTCAAAGGAGTTCCATGCAGTTGGGCATCAGTTGAGTAAGTACATGAAAAATAATACAATAGTAAATCAGGGATAAAACTAAGGTAAATATAATATCATAAATAGGGATATTATATTACATGGTACGGGGAATACTAAAAGGCGAACGTTAGAAAAAGGGGAACTGTTAATAAGGGGGTTATTCAGAAAAGTTGATATTAATCCCGAGTTTTCGTATAAATTGAAACATTATTTTACCTGAAAGTTTGTCATTTCCTTGTAAGTCATGCTGTTTTTGAAAAGTTGAGAGAAACGAGTGAGTCAGCTTGGCTGTAATGTCAAAAGTCAAGTTGAGAGAAAGGTGACCTTAATTGTTTACAATTAACAGGCGCCTTTGGCGCCAATATATACTAACTTGGAGGGGTAGCGCGCGCCAAAAAAACTGTCAAAATTTTTGTCATAATTTTTCAAAAAGTGCCCAAAAACGGCTTTTTTGACTGTTTTTTCAAATATTTGCTTGCGGCGCAGAAATTTTAGCCAAAATAGGGGCAAAACAGTGCTTTGGGAGAGCTCGAAAAATCAATTTGGTCGACCTAAAAAAAGGTCGTCAAAATTTTCGAATTTTTTTTGAAAATCCGCCCCCCCCCCCTCGAGAAAATCCTAGATCCGCCCCTGCTTGGTATCATAAGTTTTGACCTATGCTCCCACTAAAAGCCCTTTAAATGCTCCTTCGGAACAGCATTAAATTAAAATTACTGGGGGTTCAATTCTTTCCTTATGGGGTGATTTAAAACTTCAAAGCTAGATAATTTTAAGCTAAACTGGAGCACATGGATCTTGAAACTTATGAAAGTGGTGTTCAACACACCCGAACTTGAGCTGTGCGCTCTGCCATATGATGCAAAATGCCTCTATGAAGGAAACTGCAGCGGCCATTCTAGATCGACTCCCACTCCTTTCTTCGCCACTGGAGTCCAATGCGTACAGGTGTGTCAGAACAGAAGCAACTCCTGAAAACACGATGCCATCACTACAGATTTTGTATATAATTAAAGACGATAAAAACCATGAATTTCTGAATAGATTATGCTAGCCCTTCTACAGTCTTATTTGAAGATCACTTAAAAAAGAAAAGGCAATTGCCCTCGCTTTTTCGATACAAAAATAATAAAGTTAAGGTCGAGTTTTGAAAAAGCTGTAAAGAGAAAAACGGATTTAAGGATGAAGTACCTGAAATGAAATTCATTTTTCTACTTCACGTGAGCAAAAAATTGAATGTATTTACCTGTAAGAATCAGAATGGGAAGGAAAAACAAATAACTATTGAGTCTGAAATAAATTCTCGAAGCTCTTCTGAACATGTTTTTCTTTGCTCGGTATCTGCGCGCCAAGAGGTCCAACAGCGCCTCAGGATCCCGAACATTCCCGCTGTCGGAATCCGAGAAAGTAAGGCCGAAGTTTACGCTTTCGGCTGGTTCGTCGATTGTGTAAGAAGACTCGGTTATCATATCGGAAGAATCAACACGATGTCCATTTGACGACATAATAAAAGCTGTTTGAGCAATTGATTGAAAGGTTTCAAGTAAACATCAGTTCTGAAAATTGTTAAGCACAAAGAGCTGTTTATCTAAGCTGCCGTTATACGAAGGATTTGATTTGGGCGATGGGATCAGAAGATTCAACCCTATCACCACACAAAGGAAAAACTTCCCCCTGGAACCCATTTTGATCAACCTAAATTTACGGTGATTTTGTGGGGGTGAAGTGCGCCGAAAACTTATATCTTTTGTCAAAACCGTCTGAAAAGTTTCCTAGAACGTGCGAAGTCGTTTTTTTCTTCATTTTTTGAGTGACAAAAGTCAATGTGGTCGGTCTAGAAAACAATTTTTTGAATTAAAAATCCACCCCTTAGTACATTAAGACTACAAAGTACAGACAAAACTAAGCGCAAATTCTTTTTTCTTACTGTGCAAAGCCTGTTTTCAATGTCGATCATTTTGGACAACGTTTAAAACGATTTTCAGTAAAACTTTTATATAGACCAAGAGCCAATAATCAGAGCTATCCTCTATGAAACTATCAAAATTTGGCTTCAAAGGCTACCCGGGTCTGAAAATGCCTGTCTTCTTCATGTGCACTTAGTTGTTCAAAGCGCGTGAAATTGTAATAACCAGCCAAGTTTAGTAAAGTTATCAGCTCGAACATTTCAATAAAATTGCTCAAAACGTTTCACGCAGCATGAACAACATTTTTCTCTGTATTTTGAGAAAGACTTCACATCGACGCAAAACTTAGTGCAGGTGGCGAAAACTGGCTTTTTCAGACCCGGAAATAACTGGCAGTTTTCTAAAACCAAATTTCTAATTTTTGATAATTTCATAAGGGGCTGCTTTGATTACTTGCTCTTGATCTAGGTAAAAGTTTGTTTAAATTCTACGAGAAAGTTGTCCAAAATCAGCCATGAAAACTGTAATTTTAGAAAAAAGACAAGAACTTGCGTTTAGTTTTGACCAAAATTGTAACAGCCAATTTTAGTAAAAATTTCATAAATTTTATTTCAATTTTCTAGCTCAGGATGTTTCGCAAGGCATGAAAAACGTTTTTACTCCTCTTATTTGAGAAAGAGTTCGCTAGGCTGCAAAATTTGTGCAGATGAGAAAATCTGGCATTTTCAGTCCCGGATTCCACTGGTAAGTTTTTTAAAACCAATTTTGGATAGTGTTTTTGAGCATAACTCTGAGCATTGGCTCTTGGTCGATGTAAAA